CGCACCCAAGCAAGGGGTAAACGCAGAAGTCCTTTGGTCATATTTGTATGATACTGGCCAGCAGGCAGGTGAAACGTCCAAAGAGTCCTCGTAAAAACCTGATGCTGACACAGGGGATGTGTGCAAATTGAGGGATGTCAACCTCTGACGCACTACCTGGGAAAATATATGACCACATTAGCAACAACCTCCTTCTCCTAAGGGTAAGGGTTTCTGGACAGCAGCCATGTCTTAATTGCCTCGTTTTAAAAAGCTCTTAACCTGTGTCTTCTACTGATGTAATATCTCAATCTCAGTCACAAAAGGGACTCCTGTTTCAGTCTATATCAGGGTGCGACTTTGTGCTCTAATGGTTAACTGAACATCTGTCCTATGCTACAACCCCTCCCAAAACAATGCAACACTAGCAAAAAACCAGGAAGTGTTTCTGCTATCTGATTTGTTCTATACAGTGGATAAGTGACATTAAATAACATCTTCATTATTTATTAATCTGGTGATTGTTTTCCAAATTTAATGACATAAGATGGTATGAAAAAGTGATAATGCCAAACTTTCCTTCAGCCTAAGGTGATTTATTACAACCTGCTATGAGCCACCAATCCAACATTTTTCACCTCAAAAAATGAATTATACCAGCGATAAAAATGCCATGATAGCATAACATCACAAAGTTGTTTAATAGCAACTGTGGACAAAGTAAGCAACTTAAAATTCAAACTACAGTTAGTTTTGTAAGAGTGAGATGTTTTTATATTGTCATTGATGCTTAGAAACATATAATCATGAGGGTCTAGTATAAAACGCTGCAATTGAAAAAAGAGAAGGGAGGGAGAGCTTTGCCGTGCTTACAAGATTACTACTACGCCGCACAACTGAAGCCCCTGGTAAACTGGTGTTCCCCAAACTATGAAGCTAAATGGAAAAATATGGAAATTACACAATTAGACTTCCCATTACAGTCTCTTTTAGGAAATAAGAACCAAGCTGAAAAATTTTACAAAGATTTGAACCATTTGACCCGGTTCACCCTGAAACTATGGTTCAGGGTTGTGGGGAAACTACAAATAGAAAAGCAGGCTAAGACCTTGAATTGGATAGCTTATGACCCGGAGTTTGTACCTGCCAGGCTGGATGGGACCTTTAAACAGTGGTCTCTGAGAGGAATTACTTCTTTTTGTTCACTAGCAACAAATGGGGGATTCCAAAGCTATAAAACCATCTCAGATACATACGGATTGGCAAAGCACGACTTCTTTAGATACTTGCAGGTCAGAGACTATTACAACAAGACGTTGCTAATCAGAGATGAAAACGAATACAACCTAATTCATATCTTTCAAGAGGCATACAAGAGAAATGACTCTAAAAAGATGGTCTCGAAAATATATGGTAGTATACAAACCATTTTCATGTCTTCTGGGCCTGCCCAAGGATTCAGCCATATTGGGGGGAGGTGGCCCTTGAGATAAACAAAATAATTGGGATTAAAATAGACTATTCATTTGATACGTTGTATCTTGGCAAATTGCCTACGGCACTCCCACATAAAGATATTTATTTATTGAAAATACTTTTGGCTGGCTGCATGAAGGCCATAACCCGTAGGTGGCTAAAGGCAGACCCTCCAACTCAGGCCCAATGGCGTGGGATAGTGGAAGAAATTTTTGGAATGGAAAGGCTTACCTTTGTCCTTAGACTCGAGCTCGAGAAATTTAAGAAGCTCTGGGAAAAATGGGTTGTGTACTCCCCTTTGTACTGAATAAATGAATATTACCATGATGTAAGTAGATGCTATTACTGGAACTGTGAATGTCTCCCATGCTGACCTTAAGTTTTGTATTCCCATACTGTAAAATGATAAATAAAAAGTTATAAAAAAAAGAAAAAAGAAACATATAATCATTGATGCTTAGAAACATAGAATCATTGATGCTTAGAAATATATAATCATCTGTATGCTGATAAAAAATCATATCCTTATTAGGTCTGATAAGATTCTGTGTGCACTTGTGTACCATGAGGTGAGAGGAAGCAGCCTCGACGTTATAATTTCCATTATAGCTTTAGGAAATACACTGCTCTGTTCTAAAAGCGCAGTTTCACAACATTAAATGTTCGACTTAGACATGACCTATTGCAAGTTCCTGTTCTTATCATTTAGCGAGACGCTTACTTCTGGTTTTCTGCATACCTCATACACACAGTTTAAGTTCATTGAAAGGTTGTATGTCTATGTATGGTATAGCTGGAAATACACACACACACATGCACCTGCACACACACCCCCGCACACAGAATATAGACACTGATGTTGTTCAGATATGCCTGCTTAAGAATGTCACATGTATTTGTAATTGCATATTGATGAATGATTGCTTGCTGACAATAAAAAGGGCTGTAGCGTAGGAATCAGTCGAAGTTGGCTAAGTACAGGTGAAGGCCTGGGCTGACTTCCCTCACGAGCCACAAAGCTCTTTGTCTTTGTGGCTCGCGAGGGAAGTCAGCCCGTGCAGTTATTGAGTGTCTCGTGTTCCAGCGGGGTTTGTGCCTAGATAAACCCAACAAGTTTCCTCCCTAATTTATGTAATTCTCATGCTTTTGCACTGTCATCCTTATAATTAATAACATGACAAATGATAAAGGGGGGCTTTATATTTCCAGAGCTCACATTTTTCAATCTTAAAACATTTTAGAAACATCAATCAGAGGATGCTCAAAGTCCTCCAAGAACAAGTTTTACATTGGTAGTTATTTTGAAGCATGAACCTCATTAGGTGCAATTCCAGTAGTCACCAGGACATAAGCGCTGCATGTATAGCATCACCAGTCTGATAAGAACTGGTTCAAAGGTTTGCCAGTTTGGCTCAAGATAAGGTTTTAAAAAGGATTTTCTCCTTTTCACTCTGCTTTTGTTTCCATGCATTTCAATTCCAGATTCTTACAGCCACATCTCATTCCTATCATTTCTGGAATGTGTGCTTAGTTATTATTATAAGTTGACTAGGGACTCGATGTTGTACAAAAATAAAATACAGAAAAGGTCTTGAGCCAATCCTTATTTATTTTCTAGAAAAATGGGAAACAGATGCAGCAGTTTATTGAAACGTGAAAATATACATGCAAATACAGTATGAAAGGCAAAAACAGAGTTTGTGAAATTCTAACGATCATGAAAGTGAATATTAGGTATGAGCAGCTTTATTTTTAGGCAGCTTTCTTGTCATTTCTTCTCATTTTCTTTTCAGCATGATACTTTTTTGCATTCATGATTTCATAAATTTTGACAAGATCCCAAACACCAAAATTTCAAGTTTGGATTTATCACTCCATAAGACCCGTTGTCACTGGTTTTCAGTGATTTACAGTTCTTGTATAATTTTGCATACCTTAGCCTTTTCTCAGTGTTTCCCTTCCTTTAAGACTGGCCTCATTTGAAGCTACACTTCAACTGAGGCCATTTCTGATGAGGCTTTAGTAAACAGTGGCTCGATCAACTACAGGTCCTGTGTCAGTGCTTTCCTGGATTTCTTTCCTTATATTGTTTTTCTAGGTGTCCTCTGTTTTTCTAGATTCCTCAGGACACACTGCACATAATGCCAAGTTTCCAGCTAATAGCTTTTTGGGAAAACTGTGTTACCTTTGATATCCTTCACAGATTCTACTAAAGAAATGGGAACAAATTGTGTTTTTATGACAGGCTGCAAGTAACAAAGTGTTTAAAGATACAATTTAAAATTGTTTCTTTGCTAAGTTGTCTGGCTAAAGGAGTGAGCCGAACAACAAGGAGTGCCATTAGGTGCCAGTTTTTATGCTCGAATGACTCATGGGTCAGTGCTAAGTGGCTTAATAAAAAAAATCCCCAAAACATTAATCTGAAAATAGTCAGTTACAATGAGTGGAAAGTATTTATAAAACCTTGAAAAAGATCAGAGAACTATTACTCAAGACCAGTGGAAAATATAAGAAATAAATTTCGACGTTTTTTTATAATCGCTTTGTTGTTTGAATCAATTAAAGTCACACTACACAAACCAAGCCTCCGTATTTATTTGTGTTTGGATGTTCTGAGCAGACAGCTGGGACTTCCACTCAGCCTGACCCCTAGTGGTTGAACGATTTCTCAAGACCACTTTTAAAAAATAAGAAATAAAGTCTGTCTCCTTATAAGCAAAATATAAAGAAATGAGGTTTGACTCAGTGCTTTTGCACAATATTATACTAAGAAATCACAAGAAAAAAATAGCAGCTGCACAGCTAGTGATTGAATTTGTCTCATATTCAATTCTTAATTGAATTTATCACTTGAATAATCAGTCCTGTAAATGCCTCCTGTGATCTATTTACAGCTTGTTCCGACCTCTCATCCACAGTTTATCAGCCTGGCAGACCAACATGACAGACTTTGGCTACATGCTACTATGTTCTGCTTTAAACTCTACAGTTTCCTGTCCACAAAAAGGGGTTTTAATTCAGTTATGGCTCCCTGGCAACTGTATGACCCCCCCTGTTATTGCTGGAACCAGAAACTAACATCGTGATGGTCCTTGTCAGATTAGGCCAATCAATGACACACTGACCAGAGGACAGCGGAAAAAGAGAAAGAGGAAGAGGAGGAGTAGAAGGAGAAGGAGAACCGAGGGATGCGCGTGGATGTGTGTTTGTTGAGGGAGGGGGCAGCTCCTCCCATAATTAAGTTAGTGTGCTGCGCTGGAGGTCCATGTTTACGGGGCAGACGAAGTAGTTTCCTTCACTCTGTGGAGACTGCAGGAGAAGCTCTCTCACTCTCTTCTGTCTCTGGTTATTTCTGCAACTCATCCCTCACTGCGCTGCGACTGGCTGACCTACACGAGGACAAGACGGGGGGTGAAGAAGCAGCAGCAACACCTGCCTAATCCTTCACTGCTGCCGCCATCCCTCCGTCCGTTCCCGCTTCCTGCCCAGTCTTGGACCTCGTCTCCGCCGATCTCTCCGCCACCCCGCTGCCATCATGTGCGACTGTTTCCACCTGGCCTTTCCCAACTGGCACGCTGCCTCCTCTGGGACGAGTGGGTATCGTTATCTTTACGCTCTCTGCTCTCCTCCCCCCCTTGTTTTTTCTCCGTATGACTTAGCCCGTTCTCCCCAGAGCAATTCGCCGATTGAGCAGCAGGGTTCAGTAGTGCAGTGGGAGAGATTTTGTTTGCGTGCGTGCGTGTGATGGAGAGAGGCAGTGAGCGAGTGTAAGGCGGTTGGTGCTGATGCTGAGCTGTGTTGCTGACCTGCAGTGAGTGCTGGGTGTGTCTGCAGAGCGCAGGGGAGTGTTTGAAGATGTCATCATCGAGAGGATGTCAGGCAGCTCTGCGTTTCTCTCCTGCTCTGTTTGAAGCGCAGCCTGAAAGGCAAACAGACCTGATATTTTTACCGTGGCAGTTCAGCAAATCAGGGTTAAAAATAGAAACATGACAACTTAGACTGAAATAAAAAAACGAACAAACACTGAAATGTGTACAAAAAACATGCCCAAAATTCCCAGGAATATCTGTGATGAAAAATGAATCCAACAGCTCTGTATAATTTAATCTTGCATCCTTTTTCCTACTAACTTTGTTACCATTTGGAGTTTAAATGAACCAGATATAAATTTGTTTGGGTCAGGGTTAGTGGGCTTGGACCATATATAGTTTATGTGCACATGTGAAATATTTTTAAATTAACATTTTGTAGGAAATAACCCTGTTACACATTTGCAACATGTATGAGTCATTCTGTGTTTTGAGTTGAGTGGATGTTTTCTGGTGCACGGACTTTCTTCTTAAAATGTGCCTTACAAGCATAATTAGGGAAGGTGTTCTTACCAAGGCTGCAAAAAGTCAAACAGTGTAATGAGTTTCAGCAACATAAAAGGCTGATCAGATATTCAGGGTCAGGAGAAAACGATAAGCACGCTTATCTGAAGTTTCTATCGGCCTAATTATGAAAAATGTGTTTATAATAAACAGGAAATCTGTGTTTTTCATTAGTGGACATCCACGATTACACGGTGAAGACATTCCTTACTGTCTTGAAAAATGATGAGTTAAGGCTCAGCTGATGCTTGCTGTAAAAAGGAGCATGAAACATCACATTACTGCTCCCCCTTTCTATTTCCCACAGTTCTCCTCATTTACTTCCATCTCTACTCTGAATTAAATCTCCCTCAAAATGATGCGAGGTTTGTTTTGCTTTGAGAAGCTTCAGGCAACGCTCAAGGTCAAAGAGAGAGAGAAATAAAAAAAGAGAGACAGGGAGGAAGTTATCCGGATAAGTGGCTGATCAACAAGACACTGGAAGCCAAAACGAACAATCCTGATCCATTATGGAGTATCACGCCTAAGTTGGACAAATTCATTTTTAATATGTGTGGACTGTTCCCATGTTTATTTTTGTTTAACAGCATGTCGCGGGAACACGGGCAGATTAGGATGCAAATTCCAGAGCTGTGACGAAACTCGCTGTAAGTTTGAAGCAGATTAATAGATTGAAAGCATGCGCTTTGGAGTCTCATGTTAATATAATCCATGCAGAAAATCTAATTCAGCTTTTTTTCCCTCCCTTGACTAAAATCCTATTATATTTTGGATCCCAGCAAACTGCTTCCAACTAAAAGGAGCTTGTGTCTGACTGTTGCACAGGAAAAAACAAACAAAAACGGAGAGGAATCCAAATCCACGAGCACAAATAATGAGCTGTATTACTTTATATTAGTTTAGTGAAGACTTCAGGGAGCTTTTAAAACAGGAAACACAAAGTAGAGCAGAGGGTGGTTATGTAAGAGATGAGCTGAGGACAATACAACACGATACAGTTAGGATTTGCAATGCAATTCTACAGTTTAGATTTTTGTTTACGATCTTATTTGAATCTTTACCCACATAAACAAGAATATGTAGGTTTATATGCCATTGCATTGCATTATTTAGTTTAAGTGCTCACACATCAGTGTTGCTTGAAAGCAGACACGCCGGCCTGAGCCCGCAGAGATCAGCCACACCCAAATCCAGCACCAAATCATGCAGGTTCTGCACCACAAACGGCTTACTCATCTATGGAGGGTGCTTTGAATCTGAAAAATATAATAGAAAGTCAGATTGAAACATTAGGCTTTGCTTTCCTCTAACTTCTGATAAGTCAAACAAAAAATAAAAACTGTGCTCTCTGATTTTATTTTGACATGTTTAGTTGCAAATGTTCGGTGAATATGTGGGAAAGGAGTTTCTAAGAGTGCAGTGCCCGTAGCAGAGGCGGGAATAAAGAACATCCACCTTAAGTGGTGAATAACATAAGGAATGTATCAATCTGTCATTTCAGTCCCCCCGTAGTGTACAATGCACAAACACATCGCACACCATCCACAGTGAGTTACAGTTTTAACTGTGGATGAAAATCCAGATCAAATACTCCACAACACCATCACTGTGTTTCTGTATAATAACAGCACCAGGGTCTAGCCATGCTGGCACCTAAAGGCTGTATATTAAGGATGTAAGTTAAGGATGTGTATAAAGCTTACTTCTAGTGTAACACATGATGCTCACAAAGACAATTAGATGATGATGCTAAGCAAGCATCCTCTGTTTACCATCCCAGTTTTACATGTTTGTGTGCTATCATCTGTTGATTAGCACTACAATCAAACTGCAGTCAAGGTTAAAAGGCAGTCCTTCTATTAGCTGTTCAGAAAGTATCAGACCTAAACTGGTTGCCCGATGATGGATGGCACTAGATGGAAACTTCAGGTACTGCAAAACTTAAAATTAGCTGTGCCACAGCAATGGGAGCTCTTTTATGTCTTTACCCAAAATCTGTTTACAGAGGCTTCAGTGATTAATGGATCTTTAATGTGTTTGTGCTTAGGTTTGTTTACAGAAAAGACTCAATAAGAACTTATCAAGAATCTACTTAGTAACTCTTTTAACTACTTTAACTAATTCTTCTGATTTGTCAGTTTTTTTTTTAACCCACAGCTCTGACCAAACTGAACTTACACCTTGCAGTTTAATACTTATCACTGTTATTAATTTATTTACAATTTCTACCTGCGTAATGTGCTCTTACATATTTACAGAATTGTGATTTTTTTGTATACATCATGCAGTGTCAATAAACAAATCTTAATCTTCAGTATCTATTTCGTAGCTCTTCGATGATTAGCAATGAAACGTAAATTAAGTTTATTAAAGTACAAATGGTCTACATAGAGTTAGTGCATTACATATTCTCAAAATCTCCTTTTTCTCTGAGTAACATGCAAAGAGTTAAATCTCTGAACCAAAGTTGTCTTGGGGGTTCTTGGAAAACAATATAGAGTGACACAACTTGAGGAAAGGTGTGACTGCGACCTTAAAGTGTCCCGCCTCCTTTGTCCGTCTTAGGCTGAAGAAATCATTTTATCCACTTCAGCAGCCACACTCACACCAGGAATGGTTAAGAGCAGTTTGGAGCTTTTCTTACTGACACAGTTTACGTTCAGGAGTTCAGCAAACAGCAGCTTAAGGTAGGTCAGCTGCTTGCTGTAACATCATGGGAAAATCTTTACTATTTTTGCCAGTCAGACCTGGTCTGAAAGAGAAGGATGTTGATGAGTGCATGAGAAGGATTCTTCTCTTTCACTCGCTAGTTCAGGTAATGGTGTAGGCGGCTGTAAGGACTCTCACATTTTTATGTTTTTTAACATGTCTAGACTGTGTTGTGCTCACTCACTGAGTTCACAGAGAAAATCTTTTGAGATGAATAGATATATGTTGATAAATGTCCTCTTATGCTATTTCTAATCACATGAATCCACAATGACTTTATCAGACGTGAAAAAAAGCTGAGCTGGATTGTCTTTTCATTGCTCTTAAACTGTCTTGAAGGCTTAACCTTGAGGCAGCAACACATCCTGATGCAGTAAGAGGTTTTTAAACCATCACTCTCTTGCCCGAACTTTCTTCTAATGCACTTACACAGGCTGTGAGAGCTCTTCACATGACATACATTACTGTAATGCAGCGGGTGGGGTGTCAGTGTGATGGTGAGTTGAGAAACTATATGGATCTACCATATACACAGGCCAAATGTTGCACATATTTCTGTTATTTTAAGTCATTCTGTTTTTCATTGATGGCTTTAAAAGAAAACTTACTACAATAATTTGTTTTTGCTTCAAATAAGACTTTTGCTTGTAAATTACGATGCGGTGTTTGCACTAATGAAGTTGACACTTTCATTATGGTTTTTTGAGCTCCAAATTTAGCCACAGTTTAGTGTTTTTTGAGGTTTTGTCCTGCAACATATCAGCTATGCCCAAATAAAACACCTAAAGCACCTAGACCAGCGTTATTCCTGCAATGAAAATGATTTGTTTGTCCATGTAGCATTAATTTATTCAACTTTAAGTTCTACTGACAGTACTTTTTTTTTATCAGTACTTATATTTTTTAGTCAACAATACTATAAAACTACAGAAATCATACTGTATGCCTGTGTAATTCTCCACTCGACAAGCCTTGTTTTAAATGTACAACATCCCTGAAACAAAGGAACTCTCAAAATAACGTTAACGAATGGTTTATTTAAAAAGGAATTAACTCTAATAGAGCAGGTAATAATTATAATCTGGTAACTTGATTAATTTGGAGTCAGACTTTCCCTTTTTGGCAGCCTTGATGGGCTAAGCTGAGAGGTTGCAAAGTCCAATCTGTGGGTCAATACAGTGGATCACTTAACAGAGGCAGCAGCTCCCTGGAGGGAATTATTGCCAGGAAGAACTCTAAATAGTCTAATCATCGGCTCCAGAGTCTCCGAGCCTCAAAACAACTGCCAGGGGTCAGACTGGGTGGAAGTCTTATGCTTTGTCTTTGTGCAAATCATTTCTGTATTTTTTTTTTTATTCATACAACAAAAGGATTATAAAACACAAGTGTGAGCTACTTTTACATGGTGTCGTTTTCATACGAATAGAGGACAGAGGACAAAGGACAGTGATCCCTCTTGAATCATCCCTATTTTTTTATATTTTTCATTTTTATGTTTTTATATCTGAACATTTTCAGGGGCGTGTCTTTTAATTGTCTTTTAACATGTCTTTTAAAGCCACTTAACACTGACCTATGACTTATTCAATTATGAAAAGGGACCCAACTCAAGAGATGAACCAGTGTCTTGATACTTAGCAAAGAATCAGTTCTTTAGGCACTTTGTTACAAAAACACATCATGTTTTTCTGACACCTGTCAGAGGATATTTCAAGCTATGTTTAAGAGTAAAGGTGGTCATCCCAAATATTCATATGCATTAGGATTGTACACACATCTGTTTTTTCCTTTTATACTGTATTTCCAATATATGTTTATACAAGTTTCAATGGATCTCTGCAGCTATTTCACATGTTCCTATCAAAATGTAAAGAAATGAAAGGTGGCTCAAGACTTTTGCACATTACTGTATAATCTGCTACAATTAAATAAATTTCAATATTATGAATCGTGTTCAGTGCATTTTATTTGCTGTTTTTGTAAACGGAGGAGTGTGATTTTTTTGCCAGGTGCCTTTTTGCATGACATATTTGAGGTTTTGTAGTAACAGGACAGACTTTGTTTAGCTGCTGTGTGACCGGACTAAAATCACTTAATGCGATTTTCTATTTATTTAGGGATTAATATGCAAAATATTTACGCAATAAACTTGTGCATGCAGAAAATGAAGCATTAGAGGTCAACAGTTTACGTTTAAAGTATTGCAATACACAGATGTCATATCAGATACTATGTTGTTGTGTTTTTTTTTTTTTCTGAACAGGACCTGGGCGACGGTTGCAAGGCCCTGAGCCTGCCACAGAGGACTCAGTAAGTGAATTTACTGTGACACAAAGTGACATGCTTGTTTTTTCTTCATTTCATTTCTTTGTTAGTTACTGTAAGTTTTGTGCTGTGACTTCATTTCATTCATTATTAATTTGAGCCATCTGCAGCTGGTGATATTGTCCACTTTAGTGCAGCTTTATATAATGATGTTGATTTTTTCAACATGAATACCGACATCTTTCCATGTGTCAGTATTCCTTCAAATTTTTGAAACCGGAGGGAAAAACTGTCACAACATAACATAACATAACATAACATAACATAACATAACATGAGGGCATTATATTGTGTAAGTAAATGTGTCACTGTGAATGAGTGACAAGGGAGTAGGTGGTCCTACTGGGTCATCAACACTGTGGAATAATAACATTAAAGCTGTTAAATCAATAGTTCATATACTTCAGACTATAAAATTTTACATTTACAGATGTGTGTATTATGTCCTTACTGTTTTTGTCCTGTTTTTATATTTTTCTTTTCATTTTAATCCCCCTTTTCCATATTTAGCACATTTTCACCAACAAACAGCTGAAATGTTTCATTCCATAGAAGGAAATCTACTGTACGTTCTCAACGTTGTCATATGTTTTTAGGATTTTGTATTATACAGTGACAACAGACTGTATGAAGTAACGCGTCTAGATCACCAAAGTGATCAACAGTTCAGTTTCTGTTTGAAGGCGGTCACATATTCCTGTGCCTTAAAACTGGATCCACCATGTTTGATTGATAGATTATGATGTTGATGTTGGAGTCTGAGCTAATAAATACTGAACAACAGTTATTTTAACTTTACAGCAAAGCAAATAGAGACAAGACTTAGTGCTAATGGAGACTTTGCACAGATAGGCAAATAACAACAACCCATTACAACTTACACTTTTTATCAGAGAAGAAATTTGTACAAATCAGTGTATAGTATTTATACAGATTGGCTGACTAATATTTGTGCTGCACTGAAAAATGATCACATCAGTCTAATATAAACAAGGCTGTCACCGATCATGGGCTAGCAGCTGAAAAACAACAACTTTGGTTAATTCTGGTTTGGATGATGGATGATGAAAATGAGAATCTACACTTCATTCTCACACACACACACACACACACACACACACACACACACACACACACACACACACACACACACACACACACACACACACACACAAAGTACACATGCACACAGTATTTTGCTCAAAGTGTTGGCCTGACAGACTAGCCAACGCTGCCATCTCAGGAAACACACCAATAATGTGACAGTTTTTAAATGCCAAATAGCTAAACACCCAGTCAGTGATGCTTTTGGCTAAACAAGGTGCTATCGCACTATCTGGATCCAATTTTCCTCCATATCTTTTTTTGTTGTTGTTTATGCTGCAGGTGCAGCTGCATGAGTTTTAATAAGAAAACATTTTATATGCAGCTCAAGAAAATAGATGCTTTCTAGGCTTGATAATATCCAAATGAAATGATATGAAATTTCTTAGGGGTGATGATGAAAACAGGTTTGTTTTCATGTTTACTGACCTTATGTCCATGCAGATGTGTGATGAGCCATCTCAGTTCGCAGAGAGTGAGAGACCACGCCCACAAGGGTCATCTCCAGTTGAGGAGTATCCTGAGACTGAAAAATACAGTGACAGTGATAAAGAGGTACAGAGAAACACCACACATATTTTAAGTTACGTGTGCGCTTCATGTTTTAAGGTCCTACAACATCACTCGATCCCATATGAGTAAGCACTTGGCATGAACCAAGCTCAGCCCCCCCCCCCCCCCCAAACTTTTAGCTTGTTTACAATACAACCATGTCCAAAAAAATCAGGCTTCTCTGGCAGAAATAACTGGCTTTCTTTTAATTCTTCACCTCAGCTGGGAAATTATAACGCTGCTACTTCACTGCATGTAAACTCACAGTTATTGAATAGTCTGCGTGTAAGTCAACGGTCTATTTTTCAGGCCAAAAATAAATGAAGTTAGAAAAACAAACTTGTGACTGAAAGAAAGAAGTTTGTGTATTCGACTCAGTTATACTCACACGGCTGCATGTCCTGAAATGACAAAAAAAAAAAGGTGAAACTGAAGAAGACTGTTTCTGGACAGCATCCACATGAAAATGTAGAAACTGTGAAAGATAACATTGTGTTTTTATTAGTTGTTCTATTACTTACTTTCTATTACTTATTTCTCTTTACAGATTTGTGTGCTAATGTGTGGTCCAAGATGAGCTCTGCATTGTATAATATTGCAATAACTTGGCTACTCCCCTGTATAAATGAATGTACCCTCCTGATCTGAGTATTATAAGATTACTTTTTAAACCCCTTTGCTCCTCTTAAACTCCTTTTAGTGTGAAGCAGAGCATGACCCACGCCACAAAGGTGGGACTGGAAAGAAAACTAAAAAGTCTGGGCTTGGGTCCATGTTTGAAAAGCGCTCTACTCCAAAGATGAGTAAACTCAAGGTGAGACATTTCTAGCTTTTCCTCTGTGTACTGCATTTGTAAATCCTTTCAAGCTATGCAACTGCAGAAAAAAAAATCAGTGCTAAAGGTAAAATGACTGTCCTTTTTTTGCACTGGCAGGAAGCTGAGAGCCCTGAATCTGAGGTGATAGTGAAAACGGCCAAAGATGGATGTGCAGAGGGTCTCATTTATGGTGGAGGGGGAAAAGAAGGGATTTTCATTAAGGAAGTAGTGCCAGAGTCACCAGCCTCCAAAAATCTAAAACTGAAAGAAGGTAAACCTGCGGCTAAAAATTTGTCTCATTAAAATTATTATAGGTTTAAAGTCTCTATATTATTACATTACATTACTATGTATTATTACATTCTGTATTCTACTTGATTTTATGTTATGCTATTGTAGAATTTTTAATTTGCAATATTCAATTGACAATTACACTGCTCAAAAAATTAAAGGAACACTTTTAATAAGAGTAAAACATCAAGTCAGTCAAACTGCTGGGATACTGACGTGGTCAGATATGTAGCAGAGGGGCTTGCTAATCAGTTTCAGCTGCTTTGGTGCTAATGAAATCAACAACAGGTACACTAGAGGGGCAATGGTGCGACAAAACAGGAATGTTTTACAGGTTGAGGCAACCGAGATCCTGGGTTCCTCCTTGTAGGCAATGGTACCTGGAGGATGAATGAATTGATACCATTGACTGGTTCCTACACTCATCTGACCTAAATTCAACAGAACACCTCTGGGATGTTATGTTTCGGTCCATACAATGCTACCCCGTTGTAGGAACCTGGTAATGCCTTGGTCCAGATTTGGAAGGAGATCCCCCAGGACACCATCTGTTGTCTCACTGGAAGCATTGCCTGAATTTGTCATGCATGAATTCAAGCACAAAATGACACCCAACTACAACTGGCTGTCATTTTGAGCTGCTGCAATGAAATTTTGGCAAAATGGACTAGTCTGCTTTTTGAATTCAGCCCCCTGTAAGTTGATAATTTTTATTTCAATCAAATGATGAGGCCATTCATTCCTAACACATTACCCAGTTCTTATCAGCGTCGATATCCAGCATGATTTTTTTCCTCCCATTGAGATCTTATGTGTTTTCAAAGTGTTACTATAATTTTTTAGCACTGTACGTTGAACACAAGCAAATGTTAATGTTATTCTTTATTTGATTTTTTTATTGAACACTTCAATTTTTATCAACTAAAAATGGGACTTAAAAGTCTGCTCATCAAAGTCCTTTTGAAATATTTTGTCTTGTCTACACAGGTGATCAGATTTTGAGTGCCACTGTGTATTTTGACAACATGTCATATGAGGATGCCATTCAGATTCTGGAGCATGCTCAGGCATATAAACTGAAGCTTTGCTTGAAGCGCAAGCCAGAGATCACAGAGACCGAACCAGCCATCGAATCTGACGTTATACCTGTAACTATTCTCAAAGTTGTCTGCTCAAACTCTTTGTTAGTTATTTTTATTTGTTAGTAACGACTTACCTTTAATTTTTATGCTTCTTAACAGGAAGAAGACCTCCACACTCCACAGATGAGAGAACAAGGAAAAACTAAAAGACGCGGAGAAGCTCGCATTTCGTGGCCCAAGTTTTCATCCTTTGGAAAAGGGCGAAAATCACGTTTTACAAGGTCTCACAGTTCCTCAGAGGCTGAGAACAAAGAAAGCTTGAACTCAGCCCAACAACAAGCGACACAGAGTCACCAATAAAAACTCAGGATGCTCTCAAATACAAGAAAAAGCATAAAATAAAACTACCTGGTCTGACAAAGAGAGGCCGGATAAGTTCATCTGAGGAGCAGGACACAGATGTGCAAACTGGACAGATCAGTGGTGACACTCACCACACACAAGAATCTGATATGCTTTCACCTGAGTGCCTTGAAAGCCCCTCAGGAGAAATGCCTGAAGCCTATGTGAAAAAAGATCTGAAAGTAATGAAAGATGTGCAACTTGAAGAAACCAATCTAACGGTCCGTGAAGCTCAACCTATTCAACATAAGGTGGAACTTATCAGTATAGATAGCACTTTGAAAACAGCAGATTTAACTGTGGCTCTAGCAGATCAAGAAAGCCCCTCTCTTATCAAGTCCCTGAGGGGAAAAAAGAAGAAAGAAAGGTCTGAATTAAAAATGAAAATTCTGGGGAAGGATAAATCACACAAGAAAGAAGCAAAAGCAAAATCGTCACCAAAAAGGCTAAAAACACTAGGGGCAAGTTTTGACTTAGCTGATCATCCTGAAAATGAAAAATCTGACTTAATCCCAAACTTTGAGTCACACACAGAAGATCCTGCTCTTTATGCTAAGGTGGAACATGATTTATCTGATGTTGCAGTTTCACAAAAAAATCCACAGAAAAGTGAAGCAAAAAGGCAGAAAGGCAAAGAAATCCAAGAAAAACACGAAGACAGAAGAACAGGGGAAACTGTCAAACTGACGAAACTCAGTTTGGGTGACGTTGGTGCTGAGGAAATCACAGATGATCCTTATAAGAGACTGGCAAAAAGCAGTGATTTCAGAACCCAACTTCCCAAACGGGAAGAGATTGAGATACCAGGTATGGAGGATAAGTCTGTGAAGACGAGAGCAAAAAGAATTAAAGAACCTAAGGTAAATTATACAGGACAGAATGGAGAATTTCAAGCGGAAACTGTGCAACTGTCAATTGATGTTGACAGTGTGAAAGAGGCAGTTTCTAAATTGCCTGGATATAAGCTGCCTAAAGTTGATACATCTGGCATGCCTATTCCAGAAGAAATTACTGTGATAGATGCAAATGCTCAAAGAATATCAGTGAAAACGCCTACAAAAGTGGTAGACACCAAAACAAAGCATGGAGCAAGTCTTACAAAGTTTGACACAACTTCTTCTCTAGAAATTTCCAAGACTACAGTTAAGCTGTCACAGATCACAACCGGGCAATTAACCTCAGAGGATCTTTTAACTGAAACAACAGTAAAAACTTATAAGGAACATGAAACTAAGAAAAAACAAAGCAGCAAAGAGATTAAAACTGGGACCTATAAAAGAGAAGATATTATAATACCAGGAAAGGAAAGTTTAGAGAAAGTATCTAGTCTTCAGGCACATGTGGCTGATGAAACACGAGGAACAGAGGGTATCAACTCTGAATATGAATCAGATAAGAAATCAAAGAAGGCAAAGATGACAGTGCCTAGCTTTGGGATAGCAAAGCCAGACATAAGAATCCCTAATATTGGAATTGTCTTGCCAAAACAAAATATCTTTCAGCAAAAAGGGGACACAACAAAAGGAGAAAAAGCTGAATTCCTCCGAGAAGTAACGACATCAAAAGATGAAATTAAAAAAGAAAAGGGGCAGAGTGAAGGAGTTGTATGTGAGGTTGTGATTCCTGAACTCGATAGCATTGAATACATTGACTCAGTAGATGGTTCACCAGCCAAAAAGGACAATGGCATTAGGCTTACAGGTTTTGATGTAAATCTTGAGTCAAAAACAAACGTGGATATTTCCCTGGCAAAAAGTGCAGAAACTGAAGAGCATGCAGTTAAATTGCCTCAATTTGGAGCTATTACTACATACATCAGTGTAAATGTGCCCGATGGAGATAAGCCTATAAACACTGATGAAGCTGAGACAAAAACTCTTGAAAGAGAGGGAAAGGGTAGCAAGTTTAAAGTGCCAAATGTTGGTATCTCCATGCCAAGGGCGAAAGGAATAAAAACGGATTCAAGTCTATCAAAGAAAGGTGTAGCTGTGACACCACCGCCTGAGACCGACGTTACACTTGGAAGTGTAGATGTTTGTATTGCAGAACGAATAATGGAGGCAGAAAAATATGACCAGGAATAAAACATCCTCGGGCAGAAGGTGATTTTGATAGGCAAGGAGGCAAGTTCAAGATGCCAAAGTTAGGAATTGCAATGCCGAAAATAAAAGGGTCTGAATTTGACTTCAGTGCATCAGAGAAAAATGAAGATATGAAACTGTCAGAAACAAAACGGAAGGTGAAACCCTCTGATGCCGAAATTAGAGCTCCTGAATGAAAGTTGTAGAAAGTATGTAGACGAATCACCATCAAAATTTAAGATGCCAACATTCAAGCTACCTAAATTTGGATCTCCTGTGGCCAACACCAGTCATGAAGTACATGATAAATTAAAAGACATTGAAATTTGTGAAACACAGCTGAAATCAACTGAAGGTGTCAATGTTAACATTCCAACACCAAATACTGATATTGTGGGATCATCTATTGATGTGAAAACAGTTGATGTCAAACCACAGACTGGAATTAAAACTAAAATCGATGTAAGTCTTGGGAGTGCAGAAGCTTTCTTTCCCAGGAAAAGACTGGAGATGAAACCGAAGTACATGAAAGCAAGTTCAAATTGCCAAAATTTGGAATAACAATGCCAAAAGTAAAAGGACCAGAAGTTGATTTTAACTTATTGAAGAGAGATGTAGATGAAACACTTGAAGAAGCCAAAACTGATGCTGAACGTAAAAAACCCTCTGCTCAAATGGAAACCGAAGATCCTGATATTGAAGATCTGACAAAGGACAATGAGAACTCACTTTCAAATTTAAGATGCCCACATTCAAACTACCAAATTTGGAGTTGGTATCCCAAGTGCCACAACAGAAATACTGATTTGGACACAGGTATCAAAATAGAAGGTGCTGATATTAGTATCCCTGAACAGGTTCTTGAAGTGAACATAGCAGCACCCAGCATTGAATTAAAAGAACATGAAGGCAAAGGAAGTAAGTTCAAATTGCCAAGTCTTGGATTTTCTGTCCCTCAAACAAAGGACCGGACTTTGATTTAAATTCTTCAAAGAAAAGCATAGATATTACTCTTCCAGAAGCTGAAGTCAAACTCCCTGATGTTGAAGTTGAAAAAAATTCTGCTGAGGTTGAAATGAAAATTGAGACTAAGGAAAAAAAGAATCACTATCAAAGGTTAAGATGCCAACATTCCACTTACCAAAACTTGGCATTGGTATCACAAGTGCAACAGCAAAAGTACCGGATATGGACAAATGTATCAAAATAGATGGTGCTGATATTAGTATCCCCGAAGAGGTTCTTGAAGTTAACATAGCAGCACCCAGCACTGAATTGAAAGAGCCTTCAATCTCCTTGAAAACCAGTGGATATGAACATGAAGTAAAAGGAAGTAAGTTCAAACTGCCAAGTCTTGGATTTTCTGTCCATCAAGACAAAGCGCCTGACATTGATTTAAGCTCATCAAAGCAAGACGTACATATTACACTTCCAGAAGCTACAGCTGAAGTCAAGCTCCATGATGTTGAAGTAGAGAAACCTTCTGTTGAAACTGAAATTGAAGCTCCTGAGTTCAAAGTTGAGACAAAAGACAAGAAAGGATCACCATCAAAGTTTAAGATGCCTCCATTCCAATTACCCAAATTTGGCATTGGTATCACAAGTGCAACAGCAGAGGTACCGGATATGGAGAAAGGTATCAAAATAGAAGGTGCTGATATTGAGATTCCTGAAGAGGTTCTTGAAGTTAACATTGCAGCACCCAGCACTGAATTGAAAGAACTTCCAATCTCCTTGGAAACCAGTGAATCTGAATATGATGGAAAAGGAAGTAAGTTCAAGCTGCCAAGTCTTGGATTGTCTGTCCCAAAAAGAAAAGGGCCTGACACTGATTTAAGCTTATCAAAGAAAGATGTAGATGTTACACTTCCAGAAGCTAAAGCTAAAGTCACACTCCCTGATATGGAAGTGGAAACTGAAGCTCCTGAGTTCAAAGTTGAGACAAAAGACAAAAAAGGATCACCATCAAAGTTTAAGATGCCAACATTCAAATTACCCAAATTTGGTGCCCGTGACACAAGTGCAACAGCAGAGGTACCGGATATGGACAAAGGCATAAAAATAGATGGTGGTGATATTAGTATCCCTGAAGAGGTTCTTGAAGTTAACATAGCAGCACCCAGCACTGAATTCAAAGAACCTTCACTCACCCTGAAAACTACAGGAGCTGAACGTGAAGGCAAAGGAAGTAAGTTCAAACTGCCAAGTCTTGGATTGTCTGTCCCTGAAACCAAAGTACCTGACATTGATTTAAGCTTATCGAAGAAAGACGTAGATGTTACATATCCAGAAGCCAAAGCTGAAGCCAAACTCCCTGATTTTGAAGTAGAGAAACCTTCTGTTGAAGTGGAAACTGAAGCTCCTGAGTTCAAAGTTGAGACAAAAGATAAAAAAGGATCACCATCAAAATTTAAGATGCCTACATTCAAATTACCCAAATTTGGCATTGGTATCCCAAGTGCCACAGCAAAAGTACCTGATTTGGACACAGATGTTAAAGTAGATGGTGGTGATATTAGTATCCCTGAGGAGGTTCTTGAAGTCAACATTGCAGCACCCAGCACTGAATTCAAAGAACCTTCACTCACCCTGAAAACTGCAGGAGCTGAACATGAAGGCAAAGGAAGTAAGTTCAAACTGCCAAGTCTTGGATTGTCTGTCCCTCAAGCCAAGGGAGCTGACATTGATTTAAGTTTATCAGAGAAAGACGTAGAAGTTACACTTCCAGAAGCCAAAGCTGAAGTCAAACTCCGTGATGTTGAAATTGAAAAATCTTCTGTTGAAGTGGAAATTGAAGCTCCTGAGATAAAGATTGAAACAAAGGGAAAGAAAGGATCACCATCAAAGTTTAAGATGCCAACATTCCAATTGCCAAAATTTGGAGTGGGTATCACAAGTACAACAGCAGAGGTACCGGATATGGAGAAAGGCATAAAAATAGATGGTGCTGATATTGAGATTCCTGAAGAGGTTCTTGAAGTTAACATAGCAGCACCCAGCACTGAATTCAAAGAACCTTCACTCACCCTGAAAACTGCAGGAGCTGAACATGAAGGAAAAGGAAGTAAGTTCAAACTGCCAAGTCTTGGATTGTCTGTCCCAAAAACAAAGGGTCTGACATTGATTTAAGCTTATCGAAGAAAGACGTAAAAGTTACACTTCAAGAAGATAAAGCTGAAGTCAAACTCCCTGATGTTGAAGTAGAGAAACCTTCTGTTGAAGTGGAAATTGAAGCTCCTGAGATAAAGATTGAAACAAAGGGAAAGAAAGGATCACCATCAAAGTTTAAGATGCCAACATTCCAATTGCCAAAATTTGGAGTGGGTGTCACAAGTGCAACAGCAGAGGTACCGGATATGGACAAAGGCATAAAAATAGATGGTGCTGATATTAAGATCCTGAAGAGGTTCTTGAAGTTGGCGTTGCAGCACCAGCACTGAATTAAAAGAACCTTCATCTCCTTGAAAACCAGTGGATATGAACATGAAGTAAAAGGAAGTAAGTTCACACTGCCAAGTCTTGGATTGTCTGTCCCAAAACCAAAGGCCTGACATTGATTTAAGCTTATCGAAGAAAGACGTGCATGTTACACTTCCAGAAGCCAAAGCTGAAGTCAAACTCCCTGATGTTGAAGTAGAGAAACCTTCTGTTGAAGTGGAAATTGAAGCTCCTGAGTTCAAAGTTGAGACAAAAGATAAAAAAGGATCACCATCAAAATTTAAGATGCCTACATTCAAATTACCCAGATTTGGCATTGGTATCCCAAGTGGTACAGCAAAAGTACCTGATTTGGACACAGATGTTAAAGTAGAAGGAGCTGATATTAGTATACCTAAAGAGGTTCTGAAGTTAACATAGCAGCACCCAGCACTGATTCAAAGAACCTTCACTCACCTGAAAACTACAGGAGCTGAACATGAAGGAAAAGGAAGTAAGTTCAAACTGCCAAGTCTTGGATTGTCTGTCCCTCAAGCCAAAGGACCAGATATCAATTAAGTTTATCAAAGAAAGATGTAGATATTACACTTCCAGAAGCCAAAGCTGAAGTCAAGCTCCCTGATGTTGAAGTTGAAAAACCTTCTGTTGAAGTGGAAATGAAGCTCCTGAGATAAAGATTGAAACAAAGGGAAAGAAAGGATCACCATCAAAGTTTAAGATGCCAACATTCCAATTGCCAAAATTTGGAGTGGGTGTCACAAGTTCAACAGCAGAGGTACCGGATATGGACAAAGGCATAAAAATAGATGGTGCTGATATGAGATTCCTGAAGAGGTTCTTGAAGTTAACATTGCAGCACCCAGCACTGAATTAAAAGAACCTTCAATCTCCTTGAAAACCAGTGGATCTGAACATGAAGGAAAAGGAAGTAAGTTCAAACTGCCAGTCTTGATTGTCTGTCACAAAAACCAAAGGGCCTGACATTGATTTAAGCTTATCAAAGAAAGATGTAGATGCTGCACTTCCAGAAGCTAAAGCTGAAATCAAACTCCCTGATGTTGAAGTAGAGAAACCTTCTGTTGAAGTGGAAATTGAAGCTCCTGAGTTCAAAGTTGAGACAAAAGACAAAAAGGATCACCATCAAAGTTTAAGATGCCTACATTCAATTACCCAGATTTGGCATTGGTATCCCAAGTGCCACAGCAAAAGTACCTGATTTGGACACGGATGTTAAAGTAGATGGTGGTGATATGAGTATCCCTGAAGAGGTTCTTAAAGTTAACATAGCAGCACCCAGCACTGATTCAAAGAACCTTCACTCACCCTGAAAACTACAGGAGCTGAACATGAAGGAAAAGGAAGTAAGTTCAAACTGCCAGTCTTGGATTGTCTGTCCCTCAAGCCAAAGGACCAGATATCAATTAAGTTTATCAAAGAAAGATGTTGATGTTACACTTCCAGAAGCCAAAGCTGAAGTCAAACTCCGTGATGTTGAAATTGAAAAACCTTCTGTTGAAGTGGAAATTGAAGCTCCTGAGATAAAGATTGAAACAAAGGGAAAGAAAGGATCACCATCAAAGTTTAAGATGCCAACATTCCAAATTCCAAAATTTGGAGTGGGTGTCACAAGTGCAACAGCAGAGGTACCGGATATGGACAAAGGCATAAAATAGATGGTGCTGATATTGAGATTCCTGAAGAGGTTCTTGAAGTTGGCGTTGCAGCACCCAGCACTGAATTAAAAGAACCTTCAATCTCCTTGAAAACCAGTGGATCTGAACATGAAGGAAAAGGAAGTAAGTTCAAACTGCCAAGTCTTGGATTGTCTGTCGCAAAAACCAAAGGGCCTGACATTGATTTAAGCTTAACGAAGAAAGATGTAGATGCTGCACTTCCAGAAGCTAAAGCTGAAGTCAAACTCCCTGATGTTGAAGTAGAGAAACCTTCTGTTGAAATTGAAGCTCCTGAGTTCAAAGTTGAGACAAAAGATAAAAAGGATCACCATCAAAATTTAAGATGCCTACATTCAAATTACCCAGATTTGGCATTGGTATCCCAAGTGGTACAGCAAAAGTACCTGATTTGGACACGGATGTTAAAGTAGATGGTGCTGATATTAGTATCCCTGAAGAGGTTCTTGAAGTCAACATAGCAGCACCCAGCACTGAATTCAAAGAACCTTCACTCACCCTGAAACTGCAGGAGCTGAACATGAAGGAAAAGGAAGTAAGTTCAAACTGCCAAGTCTTGGATTGTCTGTCCCTCAAGCCAAAGGACCAGATATCGATTTAAGTTTATCGAAGAAAGATGTTGATGTTACACTTCCAGAAGCCAAAGCTGAAGTCAAACTCCGTGATGTTGAAATTGAAAAACCTTGTGTTGAAGTGGAAATTGAAGCTCCTGAGATAAAGACAGAAACAAAGGGAAAGAAAGGATCACCATCAAGTTTAAGATGCCAACATTCCAAATTCCAAAATTTGGAGTGGTGTCACAAGTGCAACAGCAGAGGTACGGATATGGACAAAGGCATAAAAATAGATGGTGCTGATATTAAGATTCCTGAAGAGGTTCTTGAAGTTGGCGTTGCAGCACCCAGCACTGAATTAAAAGAACCTTCAATCTCCTTGAAAACCAGTGGATATGAACATGAAATAAAAGGAAGTAAGTTCAAACTGCCAAGTCTTGGATTGTCTGTCCCTCAAGCCAAAGGACCAGATATCAATTTAAGTTTATCAAAGAAAGATGTAGATATTACACTTCCAGAAGCCAAAGCTGAAGTCAAGCTCCCTGATGTTGAAGTTGAAAAACCTTGTGTTGAAGTGGAAATTGAAGCTCCTGAGATAAAGATTGAAACAAAGGGAAAGAAAGGATCACCATCAAAGTTTAAGATGCCAACATTCCAATTGCCAAAATTTGGAGTGGGTGTCACAAGTGCAACAGCAGAGGTACCGGATATGGACAAAGGCATAAAAATAGATGGTGCTGATATTGAGATTCCTGAAGAGGTTCTTGAAGTTAACATTGCAGCACCCAGCACTGACTTAAAAGAACCTTCAATCTCCTTGAAAACCAGTGGATCTGAACATGAAGGAAAAGGAAGTAAGTTCAAACTGCCAAGTCTTGGATTGTCTGTCACAAAAACCAAAGGGCCTGACATTGATTTAAGCTTATCAAAGAAAGATGTAGATGCTGCACTTCCAGAAGCTAAAGCTGAAATCAAACTCCCTGATGTTGAAGTAGAGAAACCTTCTGTTGAAGTGGAAATTGAAGTTCCTGAGTTCAAAGTTGAGACAAAAGACAAAAAAGGATCACCATCAAAGTTTAAGATGCCTACATTCAAATTACCCAGATTTGGCATTGGTATCCCAAGTGCCACAGCAAAAGTACCTGATTTGGACACGGATGTTAAAGTAGATGGTGGTGATATGAGTATCCCTGAAGAGGTTCTTAAAGTTAACATAGCAGCACCCAGCACTGAATTCAAAGAACCTTCACTCACCCTGAAAACTACAGGAGCTGAACATGAAGGAAAAGGAAGTAAGTTCAAACTGCCAAGTCTTGGATTGTCTGTCCCTCAAGCCAAAGGACCAGATATCAATTTAAGTTTATCAAAGAAAGATGTTGATGTTACACTTCCAGAAGCCAAAGCTGAAGTCAAACTCCGTGATGTTGAAATTGAAAAACCTTGTGTTGAAGTGGAAATTGAAGCTCCTGAGATAAAGATTGAAACAAAGGGAAAGAAAGGATCACCATCAAAGTTTAAGATGCCAACATTCCAAATTCCAAATTTGGAGTGGGTGTCACAAGTGCAACAGCAGAGGTACCGGATATGGACAAAGGCATAAAAATAGATGGTGCTGATATTGAGATTCCTGAAGAGGTTCTTGAAGTTGGCGTTGCAGCACCCAGCACTGAATTAAAAGAACCTTCAATCTCCTTGAAAACCAGTGGATCTGAACATGAAGGAAAAGGAAGTAAGTTCAAACTGCCAAGTCTTGGATTGTCTGTCGCAAAAACAAAGGGCCTGACATTGATTTAAGCTTAACGAAGAAAGATGTAGATGCTGCACTTCCAGAAGCTAAAGCTGAAGTCAAACTCCTGATGTTGAAGTAGAGAAACCTTCTGTTGAAATTGAAGCTCCTGAGTTCAAAGTTGAGACAAAAGATAAAAAGGATCACCATCAAATTTAAGATGCCTACATTCAAATTACCCAGATTTGGCATTGGTATCCCAAGTGGTACAGCAAAAGTACCTGATTTGGACACAGATGTTAAAGTAGATGGTGGTGATATTAGTATCCCTGAAGAGGTTCTTGAAGTCAACATAGCAGCACCCAGCACTGAATTCAAAGAACCTTCACTCACCCTGAAAACTGCAGGAGCTGAACATGAAGGAAAAGGAAGTAAGTTCAAACTGCCAAGTCTTGGATTGTCTGTCCCTCAAGCCAAAGGACCAGATATCAATTTAAGTTTATCGAAGAAGATGTTGATGTTACACTTCCAGAAGCCAAAGCTGAAGTCAAACTCCGTGATGTTGAAATTGAAAAACCTTGTGTTGAAGTGGAAATTGAAGCTCCTGAGATAAAGACAGAAACAAAGGGAAGAAAGGATCACCATCAAAGTTTAAGATGCCAACATTCCAAATTCCAAAATTTGGAGTGGGTGTCACAAGTGCAACAGCAGAGTACCGGATATGGACAAAGGCATAAAAATAGATGGTGCTGATATTAAGATTCCTGAAGAGGTTCTTGAAGTTGGCGTTGCAGCACCCAGCACTGAATTAAAAGAACCTTCAATCTCCTTGAAAACCAGTGGATATGAACATGAAGTAAAAGAAGTAAGTTCACACTGCCAAGTCTTGGATTGTCTGTCCCAAAACCAAAGGGCCTGACATTGATTTAAGCTTATCGAAGAAAGATGTGCATGTTACACTTCCAGAAGCCAAAGCTGAAGTCAAACTCCCTGATGTTGAAGTAGAGAAACCTTCTGTTGAAGTGGAAATTGAAGCTCCTGAGTTCAAAGTTGAGACAAAAGATAAAAAGGATCACCATCAAAATTTAAGATGCCTACATTCAAATTACCCAGATTTGGCATTGGTATCCCAAGTGGTACAGCAAAAGTAACCTGATTGGACACGGATGTTAAGTAGATGGTGGTGATATTAGTATCCCTGAAGAGGTTCTGAAGTCAACATAGCAGCACCCAGCACTGAATTCAAAGAACCTTCACTCACCCTGAAAACTGCAGGAGCTGAACATGAAGGAAAAGGAAGTAAGTTCAAACTGCCAAGTCTTGGATTGTCTGTCCCTCAAACAAAAGGGCCTGACATTGATTTAAGTTTATCAAAGAAAGATGTAGATGTTACACTTCCAGAAGCCAAAGCTGAAGTCAAGCTCCCTGATGTTGAAATTGAAAAACCTTCTGTTGAAGTTGGAATTGAAGCTCCTGAGATAAAGATTGAAACAAAGGGAAAGAAAGGATCACCATCAAGTTTAAGATGCCAACATTCCAAATTCCAAAATTTGGAGTTGGTGTCACAAGTTCAACAGCAGAGGCACCGGATATGGACAAAGGTATGAAAATAGATGGTGCTGATATTGAGATTCCTGAAGAGGTTCTTGAAGTTGCGTTGCAGTACCCAGCACTGAATTAAAAGAACCTTCAATCTCCTTGAAAACCAGTGGATATGAACATGAGTAAAAGGAAGTAAGTTCAAACTGCCAAGTCTTGATTGTCTTTCCTCAAACAAAAGGCCTGACATTGATTTAAGCTTATCGAAGAAAGATGTAGATGTTACAGTTCCAAAAGCCAAAGCTGACAAGCTGGTAAGGCCCCTGAGGAAGACTCAGCATTGATGTTCCCGAGTTGATGTCATACTACCAGAAGTCAAAACAGATGTACATCTTCCAGATACCACCTTAAAGAATCTCACATATTATCATAGAGGGGAACCGATACAAACCTTGAGGCTAAATTGAAAAAGCCAAGTTTTCATTGCCAAAATTTCATTTTCCAAGCAAGTGTAAAAGACCCTGAAGTCGATATCAGTCTCCCAAAAACTGATGTTATTTTTCTGCAAGGTGATATAGTCAAACACCTGACAATGAGTTCAGTATGGAAGTAAGTGATGTGAATAAAGGAATTAAAATTGATGCAGCACCCGGCATTGACTCTGAAGGTTTAGCTGTAGATGTGAAAGCTAAAGGAGGTGAGATATCTGGAAGCAAGTTTAAAATGCCAAATCTGGCCATCTCAATGACCAAAGTTAAAAGTCCTGAAACAGATTTAAGTTTATCAAAGAAAGATGTTGATATTTCCTTACCAGAGGTAACAGCTGACATCAAACTACTCCATATTGAAGGCAAAGAAACTGAGGGTTCTACTTCATTACCGGAAACACCTACAATTGAGGCCGAAGTCAAGTCAAAACGACCAAGTTGGACATTTCCAAAATTTTCCTTTTCAAGGACAGCCGATAAGGCCCCAGCTATTGATGTCAAAATTGAACACCCAAAGCTGAGTTATATCAAGCAAACAGAAGTCTGTCTAGCGAAGCTGAAATCAAAGGACCTTCAATGGAAGAACACCTGCTGAAGAACTGAAACAAACTTGAAAAACTAAATTTTCACTTCCGAGATTTTCTTTTTCAAAGTCAGTATTAAGAATCGGAGTTAAGTGATGAGCTTCCACAAGCTGATGTTTCTGTTTCAGGGGAGAAATAAAAGTTAAACAACCTGAAATGAAATTAAGCTCCTGAGAAAGAAGCTGGGCAAGGAAGCCCATTTAAGTTCCCAAATTTAGGCATTGTACAACAAACCAAAAGGACCTGAAGTGGATTTAAAATCATCAATAAACAATGTTGCAGCAAACGGCCAGAAATAAAGCAGAGGTCAAAATCTCAGAAGAAGTCAAACAATCGTCATCTAGTTTGGGAATCAAGTCTTCTGAGACAAAGCAAAATCAAAAGATGCTGAAGGATCCCCTTTAAAAGAAAAAATTTCACCACTGAAAATGCCAAATTTAGCAGTGCTTCCTTTGACGTTACCATGGAAGCACCCAAAACAGAAAAGAATTGACATTCATGGATCTAAACCTAAGGAGGATTTTCTGTCACCGACAAGATTCGATTGTTAATATAAAATGGATTATTCCAAAGGTATAATATCAGAATCCGAAACACCAAGACTGAGACTGATGTTGTGGGTCTTCCATCACAAGTAAATTCAAATAACCATCTTTTAAAATGCCCAGCTTAGCTTCTCAAAGTCTAAACCTGAAGAGGAACGCTTCCTGCTGAAATAGAAGATAAAGAAGCTCAACTGGAAATGGAAGTTGAAACAAAAGGAGAAAGTAAATCACCAAAAATGATTCTGACATCATTTGGTGAGATCCTAAAGACTATTGATGTTGAATTTGATGTCCAAAAGCAGACCAAGTTGAAGAAAATTTGTAGTCTCAAAAGAAGTTCAAGAAATAGGCGAACATGCTGGAAAGCAATTAGAAGCAAAGGAAAAGGAGCAAGTACCATACAAGAATTTCCAAGAGTCCGAGAGGACAGGTTGGTTTAAATTCCTAAGTTTGGCCTGTCTTCCCCTTCAGAAGCCCCCAGTGCTCCTGAGAAATGGTGACAAAGGATGAAAAGAGTCCAGTAGGGGAATGGGGGACGAGGAAATTAGCCCCACCTTTTCTGTCCAATCATCGGATGCCTTCGCTGATATAAGTTCTGCAGTCACAAGTGAGCATGTTGGCCCATCCATATCTTCCCCAACAAAGGTAACTGTCAAATATTCTGATCCAAATGTTGCTACTGAGCTTGAAGAGACACACAGTAACATCTTTACTTCGGCCACGAGGACTGAACTGATCTCAGTTCAGCCTAACTTACCGGAGAAAATCACTATTCTGTCCTCTGGAATATCATCGTCATCAGAAGACACGTGCAGATTGGAATCGGGAAAACTACACGTCATTACAACAAATATACAAGCAACCCCAGAAGCACAGCATGCCCAGTTACTAACTGATATTGAAGCTGAATTAGCTGAAGGCCTTCCCTTAAAATCAGAAGCTAATGAAACTACATCATGGACTGTGGAAGGCTCAGACAGTGGCAACAGAGCGGTGTTTGAGAGGCACTTAGTGACGAAAACCTCAACTGAAAGAAGTGAAAGCAGAGAGACAATTGTTATAACCAAACAAATTACTCATGTATTTGACTCTTCTGAGCCCATCTCTGGTGAGACAGCGTCATCTATACAGCGACTGAGAGACTCTGTGCACTCTGAGAAAATGAGGTTCTTTGACGATGCTGAGAAGTGAGGCAACTGGCAATAATTCATGTGTAAAGATACTATTTCTCTTTGCCTAGACCTGAATGTCAGAGGAGACAAGTGAATGAAAACATGCTGGAAACTGGGAAAGGAAGTTAGCATGTTTAACTTACCGATCACAGAGAACAATCTGTCAGTGTTCAGGCATTACAACATGATGGTGATGTGCTGTGCTATGATGCTGACCTACAAAAAAAATATGCATTCCTGTAATTCACGCTGACAGTCTGTTGAAGATACTAACAATGTGTATAACTGTGTCCTTACTTCAAATTGTAGCAAGGCCTTAGCAAATATCCTTGCTCAAGATGCAGAATGTTTGACTTTTGCTTACCAAAATCTCTAAAACTCATTTTGCAGTTTTTCACTATTGACTAATTTACTTGTGTGTGTACTTTACAAAATGATAATCACCAGTGCCGTCAACTAAAATTTCTGACTGTTTGAGACTGATGCAAAAATCAATTTATTTTACTGACATTCCAAATTGTGTTTACAGTAATTTCACTATAACGCTTACAGTATATAAACTACAATAGCATAATGCAGTTAAGATAGAACAAAGAATATGTACGTATTGCACCAAGATACTGTTGTCGCTGTAGCTAAAATGTAAAGAGACAATAGCAATGCAAAGCTGAAATGAAAAGCGTATGATCAAACAGAGCAAATGTACTGCTAAAACTATATTTTTTATTAATACTTTGCTACTTTGAACCTAATTTGCCACACTAGAAATCTGTCTGGACTCTGTTTTCTTTCCATATCTCTGTACAAAGTGGGGCTATTGAACCGGCTATATAAATAGCTTTTAATGACCTTTGAAATTTTATTGGATAACTGCTCATGTTTGTATTCTGATAGGCTTTAACTTAACTTGTTTGCAAAGTTATAGACAATAAATGCTATTATATCCAAAACTATGTTTGTGTGTGTGTTTGTGTGTCTATAGTGAAATTAATAAAAAGCACAGTTTTCAATCTGTAGTCAATATGTTTGCACACTAGATGGAGACAAAGTTCATAACTATGGTAACATATCATCACGAATATGCTTCATGTTATATACAGATAATTCACAGTTTACTGTGTGAATAAGTCCCTGTGCACAGTGTGAAACTTCTGTGTTAGCTTAACTACAGATTTCCTTGTTATGGCCTTTTTACAGCAATTGAAATTCCTTCACAAACCTCATTTAAATATCATGAAATATACAGAACAAGAAAAAAAAGCTTCTTCCACTCCAACTTTGAAAATGTAAAACGTATCAGTATACCTTACAATTACACCATAGCGTGCCAACTATCAAGCACTCACTCGTTGTCTACGCTCACCGAATTGTTATGTGCTGCCTTCAAGAGCGTCCCGTCACTTCCTTCTTTCTTCCGGAAACGATGTTAAAATTATTGCTGGTGCAGGTTTCTCGCGTCCTGTGTTTCACAGAGAAACTGCATGTGTATAAAATTAGACCCTAATCACACATTGGCCATAAATGTGTCTCACAGCATCAAAATATTCATCAACTCTAATTAAAACATAGTTTGTCAAATGGAAATATCCAACAGACTCTTGTAGGAAATTTGAAACGAATGTGTCTTGCAAGTCGTTTTTCTTTGTCATCTAAGAAACATCAACTACACGTATGTGGACATGTGTATCAATAATATGTACATCATAAAGTTGTTTCCAAATTTATTTTAAAACCATGTTCTTTTAAAAGAACTTACTGGTGTCTATCTTTCATCTAGACACTGAACCTATTTGCAGTGACTATTTAAGTCTCAGAAACATTAAACCATCTACATCAGGAATGCCAAACTTATTTTATATCCTGGGTGTCTCAAACATAATAAATATAGCAGAGAGTAAAAAAGGGTAAAAACCCTTTCTGCTATTTTATCTAATATTTAACTACTACGGCAATGCATGGCGATGGGGGACATCTACATCAATAGGAAAAGCTGTTAAACTATAATACAGTTAAGTTCAATCTCTTTGACATTTTCCAAAAGCTTTCCAGTTGCTTGGATTGGAGTCTTTCCCTGGCTGATTCTGGCCCGTGGGCCTTATGTTTGGCATCCCTAATTTTGATTACCCCCCCCCCCCCCCCCCCATCCCCACCCAAAAACAAACAAAAACAAAAAGCTACACATTCTGTGGAATAATACTAATTTTGGGTATTTTAAAAGTTATTATTATCATTATTATTATTATTATTACTTAGATACAGTAGTTATTTATTGCTATTCAGTTATTTTCAGGAATGTAATAACCAAAAATAGAAACATAAAATGTAAAGCAGAGGTGCCCACGTACTTTTTGACATACAGTCTTGAACGAGATTCTCTCGATAGCCCGCCTTTTCCCGACAGGCTTTGAAGGCAGCACTAGCTCCGCTTCAATGCGCAGGCTCTGAACACTTGACTGCAAGTGGTAACTTTACCACAGAGCCTTGCGTGCCCCTCCGCCTGTCGCCCACAACAGTCAGCATCATCATCGTCATCATCATCATCACCATCATCATCATCAGCAGCAGCATCAGGAGCAATATCAGTGTGATGAGGCAGCTGAGGACGGAGAGCCTCCTGCTCTGAGACACTGGATCAGCCTGCAGACAGGTACGAAGCTTTCATCCGCATTTTAGCCAACTTGGACGCGTTAAGCCCCATTCATTCTTTATTTCCTTACTAGAAGTAGCTTAATTCACTTTTCCTAAAAGTAACTAAATTACTGTTTATGTAACTAATCTAAAGTGCACCTCGGAGGTTTAGGAAAATCACAAAACCTGTTTTGCAGAGACTTTCTGAACTGGAGTTTGGGGTTGCGGGCAGAAAAGCGCAAATCAGCCCGTTTCCGTGTAGGACGAGCTGTTTTAATCGTGTAAATCTACTACCTACCTGTTGTATATCATGCAGATGAACCTCTGCTCCAATACAGCACAATGTGTATATTTTAAATACCAGTTTTATTTAAATAATAATAATAATAATAATAATATTAATAACAATAATTAAAGCATCAGCTGAGTGCGCCTTAAAAACTAGAACAGGAAATGTGAATTAGGGCAGCAAACACTGGAGAAATCACATTGATTTCCAACTGAAACTGAGCAGTGGAGTGTTTTTAGTAAGCTGTATGAGAGAGAGAGAGAGAGAGAGAGAGCATCACTATTTTTGACCGCGGGTTGGATTTTTCCTCTTTCCTTGGGTTGTGAAAACTTGCTGGATTTCTGCAGCAAACCTGCATTTGAGGAGGTGCTGCTGCTTCTGGCTCTGATTTAATAGCAGAAATGGAAAAGGTGTTTGAAGTGAAGCTGGCGCGATGAGAGAGGAGAGCGCGGAGAAGCCATTCCACCTTAATACACCTTTATATCTGCAAAAATGAAATTGTGGAGTTCAAGTGACTGCTGCTGAACAGCCTCTGGGAAAAGACAGTTTGGACAGTCTTCACCACGATGAATCTACTGAGTGGACATGAGCGAGAGGAATTTTATCCCTGACATCAGACGTATCCGTTTCACCCAAAACGTAAATGGAAATGATAAAACAGGAGACAGTGGCTCTTGTCTTTCTTAAGATGTTGGGTCTAGTCCACATTGAAATCAGGCATTTAAAATATACTAGGAGGTGGGAACATCAGGCTCCAAACCTTATTCTGTTATTTTAACGCTAATGAAGAGGATTTCTTTCTGGAGTAGAGGCTCACTGAGCCTTCCAAGTGACGAAATCTACATAACTGCTACATGAAATGCAGCATCCTACCCAATGTGGTGACGGTGAGGTAGAGCCAGCCGGTAGGAGATTGAGCCATTATTAGTAGAGAATAGTAAAAAATCCTGAAACTGAGAACAAACGCGAGACTTGGGGAAAATTACAAAATTATCCTTTTTTTAATGCAGTCTGTTGCTTTACATTTCTTTTACGGTTGTATTCATGTGCACTGGTAACAATTGTGGCAATAGTCATTATGTAATGGGGTTGTCATCCATCCATACCTGTATCCATCCATCTTTTCCCATTTTTTGTCTTGAAAGCCATAAAGGAATCTTTATTTGCGACCACCCCTATGTGCACTTACCTGATGAAAATTTGGTGGTCAGAGGTTTTTTTTAACCTTACAAAATATATTTTTCATATAAGTAACAGCAACGAAATTTCACACTGACTGACTGAGAGTGTAAAACAAAGTGACATTTTACATCCAAAAGGTCAAAGGTCAATTCTGAACAGAGACAGATGAAAACTGCATCTTGACTTTTTGGTGGAAGTACACAACCATCATGTAGTAATGATACTGTTGATGCCGCCTGCAGAATGGTGCCATTTTTACTTGACAGAATTGCAGTGTGTCCCTAGGTCTGCCCTGGAGCCTCTTCCTGGAGAGGTCATGCTGGAACACCTTGTGTAGGAGGCATCCAAGAGGCATCCTAGTCAGATGTGCTAACCCACCTCAACTGGCTCCTTTTGATGTGGAACAGTAGCATCTCTACTCTTGAGTCCCTTCAGAATGAACTCCTCACCCTATCGCTAAAGGATAGCCTAGCCAGCTTTCGGAGGAAACTGTTCCACTTGTATGCACTTGTAGCTACAGTTTCATTCTTTGAGTCACGACCCAGAGCTCTTGACCGTAGTTGAGAGTAGGAACGTAGATCGACTGGTAAATCGAACTTTCTTTTCACGCTAAGCTCTCACTTCACCACAACGAAGCGGTCCATCGCCTACATTGATTGAGACATGGCACAATGACACTCATGAATAAGACCCACCTGGGGTAGCAACTTATTCTTGACCCAGAGTGGATGGTCCACCCTTTTCCTACTAAAATTCATGGCTTCAGACTCTGAAGTGCTAATTCTTATTCCTGTTGCAGCAAACTACACCAGTGTGAGGTGGAAGTTGCCAACTGATAAAGGCAACAGAGTCACATCATCTGCAAAAAGTAGAAAAGAGATCCTGCAACCACCAAAGGGGAGACCCTCTCTTACATGGCCTAGAAACTTTGTCTATAAACATTATGAACAGAATCAGTGACAAAGGGCAGCCCTGGAGGAGTCCAACACAAACAAGAATGATCCTGAACTGTTGTTGCCAATATGGACCAAACTCTCACTGTGGTTGTACAGCAACCTAATGGGCTGTAACAATGGGTCAGATACCCCATCCTTCCAAAGTAGCCCCACAGGATCCCCAGGAGAATTCGCTCTCCAAGTCCACAATGTGCATGTAGACTGGTTAGGCAAATTCCCATCAACCTTTAATATCCTACAGAAGATAAAGAGCTGGTAAAAGATTTTTCTACACCTAGGAAATTCTGGACTAATTCCTTTAAGTAAATGATCTGGATAAATCTTAGACCTTTATGATTTTTGTGGCAAGAATTAAACTTGCACCCCACTCAAGACAATTATTATTTCCAGTAATGACGTAATAGTAAAAAAATACCTTAATTCTTTCATTTAAACAGTCTAACCAGCTATCCAGAAACATTTAGATTTACTGTCATCTATGATGAGGAAATGCACTA